ACACACACACACACACACACACACACACACACAGAGATATATATATATATATATATATATATATCTATAGATAGATAGATAGATAGATAGATAGATAGATAGATAGATAGATAGATTAGTGTTTGCTCCTGTGGCCATAGAATTTATTTTTTTTTCCAATTCATCCAGCCAAATACATCCAACAAAATCATTTCAGGAAAACTTCTTACCAAAAACTGTTGTTTTTAAAAACCACAAATCATTTATAATGTATCACCCAATGCTAGCAGGAGAGAGAGATGATCTGAAAGAAAGGGAATGCTTTGTGTCCTTTTTATATGTCACCACCCGGGGTCTTTTCCCTGTTCTCAGCCAGGTTGTACCGATTCCTGTGCTGGCAACAGGGCTGGAAACCCTGGACACACCGGTGGGAACATCCAGTTCTTTCAGACCCCTCATGCTCAGATACTTTCTGAAGGTGGAATCTGTTTATGGAAACATAAATCCCTTGGCCAGGCTCTGAAATGGCTTAAAGCTGTTAAGCAGCTACTGACCAGAGTCATTACAAATCTTGCTCATCTTCACAGGGTCATTTGGAGATGAACAGATAAAACTCACCTCTGGGTTGTCACAAAGCAATATTAATAATTATGAAAAATAACTTACGCTTTGCACAACATAGCAAATCTACAGTGCCACGTCTGGAATTAGTCTTTCCTTGGTGACAAATGCTAAACAACACACATTCATAATACAAGCCTATGAACTAGTGACTGTAAGAGATAATAAATCCTTTGGCAATATGAGGATAGGAAAAGCTTCTCAGTATAAATATTGTTAACTCTTGTCTATGCATTAAAATGGCAAGCTGAGACAGCCCTGGTTAGCAAATACAATGAAACCTTTTACAGAAAGGCTTTTAGAGAAAGGGAAAACCCCAAAATGTAATGCAGGGTGTGTTTTTGTGACAACGCGGAAAGGTCAAACACTCAGAACCCACTCAGCGGAAACACTGAGGGGACTGTTCCCAGAAACAGATGAAGAAGAAAGAACAAGCACCTACACCTAAGCACAGGACTGGAACTGCACAGGGGACACCGCAGCAGCGAAAAGCGGCGAGTGCTTTCAGCCATGCTCACCCAGAGGAATGAATGCTCTGGAGGGTCTAGACACAGCTGGACAGTGCACCAGTGGCTGTAGGTCGCACTGAAACACTGATTAGGGTTAAAGGCCCTCACACATGCCATCACCCCTAGTACAGGAACACACAGTGCTTTCATGAGCGGGTGCTTCGAACACCATTGTCCGCGAGCGGTTTCACAGCTCTGGAGGAGGATGTAAATAAGCCCAGCAATTATTATGCAAAACATTTCAAATAAATGCTAGCTGACCTATCCATCCACCTACTGTTTTAAAAATATTTACACCTGTAATAGGTAAAGAAATAGATTTTTTAATTTTATTTTTTTTTAAATCTCCTATATGAGGCTTCCTAGTGCTGCTTTACCAGCCAGAACTCATCCTGTACCCATGTTCACAATCCTGGGTAGGAAGGACATTTTTTTAATACTGTTTGTCTCTCAAAATCATTACCAAATTTTAGTTCAGTTTCTCATGGGCAAGTCTTCACCCTATGGCTAGACTCAGGCTCGTAGGTGTTTGAACGCTCAGTGTTATAAGCAGTAAAAGGCTGGCATCTGTAAAACACAACCAAATGTCACGATACAACGTGAATTATTTTTTTTTAAATTGGTCTATAATGTAGAGAAAGGAAAGCTAATCTATCATGAGCAAGCATTGCTGGACATAGCCTGTGGCTACCTAAGAAAATTATTTAGAGTTTCTGGGAGGGAAAAAAAAAAAAGTTTCATGGCATGTGAAATCAAGAGACAGTTTGATTAGATTAAATTCCCACAACTAAATCATTTATCAAGAAATTAGCATTGGCCGTGGTGCTGGGAATTATGAATTGGTGCAATTCACTCTGTGTAGCCAGACATGCAGTCAATACAGGCTTACTGGGAATTTTTAAAGTGCAAATTTTTTCAAAGCATAAGAGAACTGTTGGCATACCTAACTGGGAACATTTGGGGTGGGAGATACACAAACAGTAAATTGTTCAAGGTCTTCCACCTGACAGCAAAAAAAAAAAAAAACAAACACTCAGCAGACACAGAAAAAGTTAGGCTCTGAAAAAAAAAAAAAATCCATCTAGTTAAAAGGAACAAATACTTCAATAAAGAAAAATTATAAAAAGCAGAGCAGGAAATGGCAAAGAGTTCCAATCAGGTTGAAAATACAGACAAGCAATAATGGAGACTACAGAATTCAATGAAAATTTTATATAAACTTCAAGAATTAAGCATAATAAAGGAGGCAACTTGAAACGAAGAAATCTCAAGTGACAGGTACAGCTTTATTGTTACATGTTAATGTTAAAATTGTAAACACTGATATCAAAAGACAACTTTATGTAATTGCATTAGTGGGAGATATGAATCAGTGGGGCTTTTTCCAGCAGATTCTCCCAGGGACTAACTCTTGGCTCAATATTATTTAATATTTTATCAATGTCCTAGATGTTCATATAAAAATCTCTGTAGATCACAAATAGATGGGATGGTAACAAATGATCAGAACGTAGTTTTACAAAAATAAACTGGGTTTGGGGTTGTTGGTTTATTGTAGGTTGGGGTTTTTTTAAAGATCGCAATGCAATCAAATCAATTCAAACATAACCAAACACAAGGAAATCCTTCTGGGAACCAGGAAGGGTGACTTTGGGATTTTATCAACAAAGAATCAGAAGCCAAAGCATTATGAATTCTCTTCTGTTATAGGGGTCTCAGTTCAACTGGTCTTTGCTTGGGGAACAAGAGTTTATTTTCAAAAGTACTTCATATTAACACATTTATTGAGACAAAGGATTTGAGTTTGGGATTAATAAATAAATAAATAAATAAATAAAGACCTGTGATACGTAGCACAAACTCACCGGTCTTACAAACAGTAATTACATTTCCAAACAAAGTAGTTTGCAGATATAGGACAGCAAAAGTCCAAGGTCAAGTAAGGGTTTGTCTACATCAAAAGCAGCCTGGCACTCTCCACAGAGCTGCTCCCCAGTTCCTTTGCATGGGCACTCCTGAGGCATATTAACAATTTTCTGTCTTCTAAAACATTTACACACCAGTATGAAAAGCACATGCACATCCTCAGTTTTGCAAACCACAGAACTAAGAACAATAAACTCATTAACTCCCCAGTGAAAAAGGATCACTTTTCTATTCTTCTGTTTTAAAGAAGGAATAAGCCACCATATACTTACCTGCACAGGGGAGCAGCTCTTTGGAAGTTAGTGCATTTGTAAATCCTCTCTCTACTCTGGAAATTAGACAATATTTAAGTGCTTCAGCTGTAAGTTTTAAAATGAGTCAACTAGAAGAAGAGAACTGGGAAGTGTCTAAGTTCCCTTGATTTGTTCCCATTTTTACAGCCAAATAATAGATATATACTGGAAAGTTTTTGTTACCCATAAAAACCACATCAAATATTGCTGAGAAAAAAACCTCACAGGCAAGGCAGATGAATAATTTCTATGTGTGCATGTATAACAGGTACACACAGCCAGACCCTGCCTGTCTAGTGGCAAGTGGTGACCTTACCAGGCGACCAAAGTCACACACAGATTGTACCTCGTGTGACAACTGTCCATGACTGTGTTTAATTATCAGTGAAAAAATCCTTACATTCTCAGAGGTCAGAGACTTGTTCAGCCTTTGTGTTCAGAGATGTTGCTAAGTGCTTTTTTTATTATTATTGTTATTTCTCTGAGAGAAGCCTGAGTGAAGAAGTCTCACTTTCACAGGAGGTCTGGGTCCTCCATCTTCCACAAGCCTTTGTTGGCATCTTCGTCCTTGATTTCAATGCTCCTTTATATGTGAGACCTCTGAACCAAAGCTGTAAAGAACGTTCAGAGATATAGTAAGTTTCTTGAAGTTTGTTAGAATTAACACAATTCATTTCCCTTCTGCTACATCTTTGCATTGTACTGCCACTTCAAACACAGAGCCCACTTAGCTTCTTCTGGAAGACTTCAGATGTCAAGGCTGTGAGGTTTTTGAGGCTCTTGGAACAGTTACAATAAAAATCTCATTTCAAATACATGCTTTTAAACGTCTTTACAGAAAAAACTTCCATAAAAATAAAAAAAAAAAAAAGTTTTTCAGGTTGAAATAATAAATGTGTTGCAGAGTGACAGGTTCATCTAACTTGAAGAGACAAAAATATTTGGTATCATGCACAGAAACTCAGAGATAAGCTACACTTAGTTCAGTACTTCTGAACAGACATAAAAGCATCATCCCACATTTGACTCCGCAAAAACAACTCTGAACGAAATTAAAGAAAAGTGATTTAAAGGAAAATTGGAAATCAGACATGGGAAGAGTTGTTTGTACGGTGCCAACCCTGCATGAAATGCATTACTAACAGGTATGAAGACCTCCCCAAAGTTTTTAATGTCAAGTAGCAAACATGCAAAGACTTAAGGTTTTTTCACTTCGCTTATGAAAGATTTTCACACATAAATATTCCAGTTCTGCTGAGCTCAGTGGGCTTGTGCACTCTGTATTTAGTCTGGAGGACTGAACTTGTGCCATGGAAGCCTTCCTCTCCAGGACAGAAAGGCCTCTCCAGCCTCAAGCAAGTATAAGCTAAGAAGCAGGAAAGCTTGGGCAGGTATCAAGCAAGAAGAGCCGTCTAAATCTGTACCAACTGTGGCTGTGCATCTGTGACTGGTGGTTTCTCAGCTGGCATGGTTAAG